CCCCAAAACCCCAAAACCCCAAAACCCCAAAACCCCAGTTATTTGCTAGAAATAGAAATATAAATAGTTAAAAATAAAATGAAGAAGTCAAATAAAAGGACTGCTCTTAAAGACTCTTACAAGGTGCAAAAAAATCCTTACAGAGGTAAGTTAGACAGAATTGGTGAGGCTATAAAAGCGATATAAAGGCAACTTGTAGATCTACGGTGATCAATAGAGAGGAAATCCAACTGTATTTTAGATAAGAAGTTATAAATACCAGTAGAGATCCAAAGCTGACATTTCCTTCTTTACCTTAGATTGTATAAAAGCTATAATTAGCTCTTATTTTTGGATTTAATTAGTTCTGATGTTTTAAAGGGAAATTTAGAGCATTGAGCCCCTGTCTCAAGCCTTTCCCTAGTTGAGTTAGGTAAAGAATTTAGCATTGTTCCTGAGCTTGACTGTCGAAGAAAACTCAAGCTTATCATCATTTATCCATGATAATACATAATCTATCAAGTGTTAGTAGATGTATAAAATATCATAACTAAATCTTCTAATGTGCCGATACACAAGAACTTGAAGGCTAGGCGAAAGGCACATGGTAGTGTAGAATTAGCAATACTCTATAACCAAAGAAATCTAGCGGTTATAGTTTTCCCTGAGTTATATTCTACCCAAATATTTACTCTATATAGAGCGTAGGAGCAACAGACTTATCTCCAATACATACCACGATACTCACTGAATAAATGATAGCAAAAGGAATATTAAATTTGAAAGTAGGATTCCAAAGATTTTTTTGAATATTTTAAGGCAGCATATCTATGCTACAAATTCGTTAAATATGATTCTTGGAATATTCACAATGCTTAGTAGTTGTATCGAAGAAATTTACTCTTTTAAACTTTCATTGTGATATCTTACAAACCATTATATCATCCCCATCATCTCTTGTTCATAATAAAGTTGTTATATTTCAGGAATCCTTAGTAAATACAATGAGAGCAACCCCTTGAATACAAGTGAGGCATCAATGTCGAAGCGTAGCAATAGTATATTTACTAAGAAAGAGATGGTATCTCCGATGGGATATAAGATCAATTCTGTACGGAGACTTCAGAACAGAAGAAGTTCAGATCACTCAGACTCATACAGTAAATACCAAACTAATCCTGATTATATGATTGATGGTAAGTCTTTGTACTTATTCTCCATGACTTGTATGTAGACATAGCTACCACAAAATCTATTAATAACAAGATTGGTACTTCTTACACCTTCTCAAATCCGAAAACTAGTGTGCAGAGTTTGAAACAAAAGTCAAAACCTAAGAAAGTAAAGAAGGTCTTTTCAAAAGTCAAGGTAGACCTGGCTCATTGCAAATATGATTGAATCAAGAAGATAGCAACAGAGAAGAAATACGGGTTTGGCTGGAAACTTATTTCTGATGCTGCCAATCTTTCATCAGCAAGTAAGTACTCGTTCCTGAGTTATAGCTGGGAATGAATTTGATATCTGATGGCATGACACAGGAGTCACCATGAGATTCTTCCAACAAATGAAGTTACATCAGGTATGAAACCATTTCCCTGGGATGAATCAGATCACTAGGAAAAACACCCTTGCTTTAACACTGAAAAAGATCCAAAAGGAGGAAGGAAATCAGGAGAAGTATGATTTCTTCCCCAGGACTTGGGTGCTTCCTACTGAAGCTTATGAGCTCAACGAATTTGTTGTAAAAATGAAAAAGAAATAGTAAATTTTTCCTAAATCTCTAGGAAAGCAAGGCAAGCTGAAGAAAGATCCTTGCTTTATTGTAAAACCTGAAGCAGGTGCCCAAGGAAAGGGCATATATCTTACTAAATAAGATGTCTGATATACCGACTTCTAAATAAGTGTGTTGTACAAGAGTACATCCCAAATCCTTTCCTAATAGACGGGTATAAATTTGACCTCAGGATCTACGTCCTAGTAACCAGGGTAGAGCCTCTCTCCATCTTTGTCTACAAAGAAGGTCTTGCTAGGTTCTGCACTGAGAAGTACGACATGAAGTCGATCAATAAAGAAGATGAGAAAAGCAAATTTACTCACCTGACTAATTTCGCTATAAACAAGCAAAATGTCTCAGAGGAAGCAGAAAGCATATCTTCTCCTGAAGATAGTAATTTAGCTCATCTTATCCCTTTAGAAAAAGAGGAGGAACCTAAGGATTTTGGCATCAAGATAAAGAGCAAAAAGGAGTTCAAGAAACTCATGTCCGAAGTCCTTGAACATCTTGAGTTTGAAGGAGTCGATAAATACGAAGTCTGGGATGAAATCAAGGATATAATCAGGAAAACTATCATGAGCATACAAGATAATCTATCTCATAGTTACAAGTCTCTCCAACCTCGAAGCAAGCGGATGGATATGTGATTTGAAATTCTAGGGTTTGACATCATGATTGATAGTTATGGCCAACCTTGGCTCATAGAAGTTAACCAGGCTCCAAGTTTTGCAACTGGATCTGAAATTGATCGTAAAGTCAAGGAAGGGCTTATTTCAGGTACTTTTTGTTCCTTATCCTATAGATACATTCAAGATCTTAAATATAAATCCAAGAAGCAAAAGGAGGAAGCTGCAATTGAATGCCAAGGAGATTCAAGAGAGATCTCGTAATAATCACAATTCAAAAGAAAACAGCCAAGCGCATACCAACTATGAGGAACGTGAGATGTACAAACAAATGAGATATGAGCTTCGAAACAAAGGAGATTTTGAGAAAATATATACTATTCTAAAACCTAAAGATGATGGTACTTACCTCCTCACTTCTAGGCCATGACTCTGACACTTCTGATGAATACATAGACACTAAGATACCAGCAGGGTTGAGTGACTTCCGTAGTGACTTCAATATTTCAGATGAAGAGAACTCTCCGTCTAAAAACATTAACACCATAAACGAAAGTGATGAGGAGATTGTAAAGCTGACCGATAGAGTCAAGAGCATCATCAAGACACCTCAAGGGAAGAATATTAGTGCTAAATAAGGTTTCTCCCAAGCCAGAAACCAATGGTATAGCTATACATAACTTTACAGACGCAATGCTCATCAGGAGCAGCAATAATTCCAACTCTATCCTTCCTGAGATACGTAGAGCCTCAGACAAGCAGGACCAGAACATGTACATAATCGATAGCAAAGAGAAAAAGTAAAAAATGCGATATTCATAATAGGAAATACCACTCTCGAGAAACTACAAAGAAGATTAAAGTAAAGAGAATAGTCCAAGCAAGTAGAAGTCCCTTCGAGGAAAGAAATTCTATCCGTAATTATCCGAGAGTAAATTTTTAGGAAAGAATAAATTATCCCATATAACCTTATCAAAAGCGAAGCTTAGCAAAAGACTTGATAAAGGAATCCCCATCAAGGACAGGATCGGAGTCTCTTCAAAACGTTCATTGATGAAATTAGAAGAAGGTCCACATCATGAGAGAGGTACTTATAGAGGATAATTTAATAGCCTCAAATCAGCACCCGCTAATGTATAATAACCATAACGAGAATCAGCATAAGAACGGGTTCAAATATTATGGATCAATCAAGCCTGGCGAAGACTACAATCCTAAAAAGCCACACCTCTACTATAAGAGCAGAAGAGAAAGGGTATTTTTCTATTAAATCTCCAGCACAAAATGAACAAAATATTCCCTCTCCTCATAAACCACCACAATATATCCGCAATCAACCACCGTAGGGACCTCCAGACGTACCTTCCCCCTCTAACCCCTCTAGCTCCAACAGATACGATACCTCTGACCTCCTCAACCTCCAGCCAAACTCTAGCGGTAAATTTCATTTCCCACTCAAAAATCCCTTCATCTCTTAAGCCTTTCCCTCTAAATTTTTAGTGAATAAATCTCAGGTTCTATTGGGATAAGCCATATGGGCGTGGTGGTAGGGCTAATGTTGTGTAGAGGAGAAGAGATTGAGAGAGTATAGGAAGAGCAGAGGGGAGATGAGGAATGTGTTTTTGTAGAGGAAGAGGATGGGTGGTATCCTCACTTAAAGGGGAAATTATGACACTTTTATCCTCACAGAGGAAATACTAAAAATTGCTAACAGCTCATGAATAAGCACTGAAATAAGAAGTTATTCTTTCTTCATTTACAAAGTGGTGCCCTTTCTTCAAGTTAAATAATGCATTAGTGCTAAACTAGATTATTTAGTTATTAGAGCTTCACTCAAAAACTGTATTTTTAATACAATTGAGAAAATATTATGACATAAAAGATTTTTCCTTTGCTTTTATTGTTTCTACCCTTGAAAGCACATTCAAATATTTATTAAGAGTATTTTATCACAGCAATCTGAAATATTGTACTTTAACTTTCTTGAAAAACCATCTAACTCTATATTTCATTAATTATAAAAGACCTAAAGTTTTTCTTCTAAAAGAGGCACAACTCAACCCATAAAAATTTGAATTCTTTTGCTAAATCCTTTAAAAATCCTCAAGTTCAGAACAGAGCTAATTTAATTTATGATCTCTGGTTATTTTCGCTCTAGGATGTGTCGGCTTTAAAGCTATGTAATGACGAGTCTTGCATTTTATTTCAACCTGGCTTTCATATGACGGGGTTTTGGGGTTTTGGGGTTTTGGGGTTTTGGGG